GCCTTGGGTCACGGCAGAAAGAGAGGGAGCTTCGGTGGGGCCACTCCGATTTATTCGGTTTAAGGGCTCACTGAAGTCTGCAGCGTCTGTTCACCAGTAGATGCGGCTGTTAGCGGGTGTCTGTCTTGGAGCAAGCGGCCCGCTATATAAGCGTGTATTTGGTTACGAAATCACCCCCGTCCCAGCAATGGGTTATGCGCTGTGTTTGGGACCCACCACGTTCAAACCCCTTCCAGTGAAGAAGCGAAGGGGCATTTGGAAATCTGATTTTACTTCTTTTATAAGTGTGAACTGCACATCATCAGTGTCAAAAGGTGGATGACCCGCTAGTAATATGTAGAACATACAGCCGGGGCCCCACACATCTGCGGGCAGCCCATATCTTGCACGGGTTACCACCTCTGGTGATATATAAATGGACATGCCGCTCATCTGGCCTCTTTAACTGAGTTGCTAATCCAAAATTGGCGATTTTACATCCCGCTCATTAGCGCCCATGTCCAGACGAAGGAGAAGGATCGTGTTTGACGACTTCAATGCCAGAGTGGGCAAGGAAGGGATCTTTGGAACCACCGTCGGAAAATTCAGCCTCCACGACGAAACGTCCGACAACGACTTCGTTGTGGCCGGAAACATGGCAGTATGCAGTACAAGGTTCAAGCATAAAAATATTAATCAAGCTACTTGGCTGTCTACGGATCGAAAAACGAGAAACCAAATCGATCATGTTGTGATTGACGGAAGGCATGCTTCCAGTGTTTTAAACGTACGTACACTCCGAAGCTCAAACATCTACTCGGACCACTATTTTGTTGCAGCCAAAATACGCACCCGCCTCTGTGCAGCAAAAAATGTGCGCCCAAATATGCAAGGAAAGCTTAACGTCGAAAATCTGCAATCACAATAGACAGCCACTGCATTTGCTACTCGACTCTCACACCTGCTCTCAGAGAGCACTCTTCAACAAACCGACATATGCGAGCAGTGGAACCACATCTCCCACTCATTAAGTACCGCCGCCGAAGAATTAGTCGCATGTCAGCGAGCCCGAAAGAACAACTGATACGATGAGGAGTGTCAGGAAGCTGCAAAGAAAAAATATGCCGCCTACAGGGCCACGCTGGGATCGGGCGCAACGCGCGCTATGTGGGACCGCTATAGGGATCTGAAGAGAGAAACGAGACGTATTTGCCGCAATAAGGAGAGAGGGGCCGAAATACGTGAGTGCGAAGAGCTTGAAATGATGGCTGACAAGAAGAATGCCCGAAAAGTTTACCAGAGAGTTAGGCGACTTACGGAAGGTTTGAAGACGATGGCGTACTCCTGTAAGAACAACAATGGCGACCTAGTTACCGATGTTCAAACGTACTTAGATTATGGAGGGAAAACTTTTTCATCCTACTGAATGGTAGCAGCACGGAAAGTTGTGGAGAAGAAGACCCCGAGCCCCCAGGCGATGATGACGGTGTCGATGTTCCACCGCCTGACTATGACGAGGTACGAATAGCAATAAGACAACAAAGCTGCAAGAGCTGACAGCCCGCAAGCTGAGCTATTTGAGTACGGTGGCGAGGAGTTGATAAGATACATGCATCAACTCTTATGCAGAATATGGTCAGATGAACGCATGCCCGACGACTGGAATTTAAGTGCGCTCTGCCCTAGGGATGTCAGTGGCAAAAATACATCGATGTTTTTCCTCGAATCGATGCATCGAAACTTGTATCGATATTTGTCGATGCATTGGAGGGCGTACATCGATGCATCGATACGCATAGAGTTTTCCTCAACTATGGAAATAAAATTTTAATAACCTTTTTCGATGTGTAGTTTTATAGCTCATAAAATTTTTCGTATAACCAAGCGCAAGTCAACCCAAGAAAAATTATTAAACATTAAAGCAACTGAAACTTGCACTTTATTATACTAACATTTTATCAACTATAAACCTGCATCTTTCTCTCTATGAACTTCAGACAAAGTGACGTTTGGCCATTTGATGTACTGGAGATGTCAGTTTACAGAAAACATCGATGCATCTATGCCTCGATACATCGACTTTTGTACATCCAATGGAAAATTTTCGATGCATCGAAGCAAAACATCGATTTTTTCGATGCATCGATGTTTTTTTGGCATCCCTACTCTGCCCACAAGAAAGGCGACCCCGCCATTAGCGCCAACTACCGCGGATCAGCCTTCTAAGCATAGGATACAAGATCCTATCGAGCTTTAGGCCTGTCAAATCCACCATAGACCAAGTATTCACAATACGCCAGTTCTTGGAAAAGGCCCGCGAGAAAAGGATCGACACTCACCACCTATTTGTCGACTTTAAAGCCGCTTTCGACAGCACTAAAAGGAGTTGGCTATACGCGCTATGTCCCGATTTGGCATCCCCGCGTTGTGTAAAATGACGTTGAGAAATACCACCAGCTCCGTCAGAATTGGAAACGACCACTCCGAGCCGTTCGCCACCAAACGGGGTTTCAGACAGGGCTACTCGCTTTCATGTGACTTCTTTAATCTGATGTTGAAGAAGATAATAAGAGCTGCAGAACTGAACCTCTCAGGAACAATTTACTACAACTAATCGAGGACAAGACGAAGTATCTCCTGTCATCAAACAAACATTCAGCACATTCGCGCCTTGGCACCCACGTCACTGTTGACAGTTATAATTTCGAGAAAGTAGAGAATTTCGTTTACTAGAGAACCAGCATTTACACCGATAATAATGTCAGCATAGACATCCAACGCACAATCACTCTTGCCAACAAGTGCTACTTTGGACTGAGTAGGCAATTTAGGAGTAAAGTCCTCTCTCGACGTACGAAACCACACTCTGTACGCCACTCATCATGCCCCTGCTGGTGTATGGCGCAGAAACATGGACAATGACAACATCCCATGAGGCGGCTCTTGGAGTATTCGAGGGAAAGATTTTGCGGAAGATTTACTGGCGACGACGATTACTGCAGACGATGAGCTGCATGAGCTTTACAACGACATGGACATAGTGCAGCGAATTAAAATACAGCGCAGGGAAGCCAACTCGTGGGGCGATTCCCCGATTTGCAGGGAGTTTGAGTTTGCGTGGGGAATCGGGTAATGGACAGTTTTTTTTGTGGGGAATATCAGTTAACGTGGGGAATTCGGGGATGAACTGGTTTTTTTGTGAGGAATCAGGTGTGACTATTTTTTTTCTTTTTTGCTTCATTAATTTCATATTGAGTTAAAAAAGTTGCATAAGAAATACAACTGCAACTAAAAGAACTGCTTTTGCAACCCTGCCAATTATGCAAATAACCGTTCATATGTTAGAATTTCCTTTGTCGCATTTGCTTTCCTATAGTGAATAAAACAATTCATTTTTATATGGAAGAAAACCGCAACACCAAACAAAAAAAAAGCTTGAACATTTTACGAAAGTTTCTTATTACACAAAGTTTGAAACTTGGATTTAAACGGTTTTATTGGATAATGAACAATATTTTTATAAAAAATAACTCAAATTAAATAACAAAAAAAAGTAATAATTTTAGAAACTTTTTAAAATTTGGTGCGAGTAAAATTTTTTCGACCACTGTATGTATATAAGTATTATATGTAAATCTTGTATTCTTTATTTGTTAATTATCTTTACAAAAGTTTGGTTTGATTTATGGGTACATAGATAAATTATATTTAGATATAAAATAAACAAAAAGACCAACAATATATTAAAATAAAATTTTTTTAATAAGGAGATACTATGGGGAATTTTACGAAATTTCGGACAAAATCGGGGAATTTCATAGTCGAAATCAGACACCGACGTTCCATCTCTGAAAGTATTCAACTCAGAACCCGCTGGTGATTGCAGAGGAGGAGGGAGGCCTCCACTGCGATGGAAATACCAGGTGGAGCAGGATTTGGCTTCACTTGGCATTTCCAATTGGCGCCAGTTGGCACAGTAGAGAAACGACTTGTGTGCTTTGTTGAACACAGCCAAAATCGCTTAGGCGGTTACAGCGCAAAAAAAAAGAAGAAGGCACCCATGTTAGGTTACCTAATTCCCTTAAGTAAATAAATTTAATTTTTTGAACAGGTTGCAATCCTTGTACATGTAGTTAAGAAGTAAAGCATTTCTAAAAAGATTTCGATCGTTACACATATTGTAATATCTAACTCAATTAACTTCTCAATTTAACCTCTAAAAAAAAAACTTTATTGTACATCTACCGGTCAAGCTCGGTAAACGGATACCTTACATTTGTAAATTGAATAAACTATGTGTTTATACCCAAGTAAATGCTACAAGAACCCGAATTTTCAACTTTAAACTGGATTTACAATGAAAGTATGGAAGTTATGAATAAAGAACAAATAACAAAAACATATAAAAAAAGAATATTAATGAATTCAGCGCCCTTAAGTTCACTAAGAAACAAATTTTCATTTAAATCCGTACTTTATTCTATTATTTCCAACATTTTATATGGAAGGGAAACACTGTGCGATGACTGGAATTTAAATGAGTTAAAGTGAGTAAATGTATCGATTCAGAGACAGACTACACAGATCTTTAATAATATACATAAATCCTTAATATACAGTGGCGAAAATATAAATAGGGAGGAGGTATTTTATGAAAGTGTATCTCATTATCTAACAAAAACCACCTAAGCAAAATTTCAAACTTTTTAATTAGATTTCTTAGAAACATTCTGAGTATGCAATATCCCACTGAATTTGAGTCAAGCAATGCCGTTGATTTTTGGCAATTTGTTTATAGGAGGTGTTAGTCATTTCTGCAATTGTCCAACATACTTTGTATGGGAGAAAATGCGCTAACAAAAAATTGCCAAAAATTATTTACATTCTCGCCACCGTATGCATGTATGTACAAAAATAGTTTTACTTTAAGCTACCTTAAAGGTGAGCATGCATACTACATAATTTTTCTTCTGACATAGTGTACTTTTATACGGAGCTTATGAAAATGAAATTTTACTCACTTCAGGGCTTCGTGATTTATCATTCCAAGAGCATTTACGGCCGCATCGCGTACGTCAACTACCTCACAGCGTAGCAGAGGCACAACCAGCTTGTAAAGTGCTTGGGGCGAAGCGGAACCCATAACAGATTTATCACTTCGATCGGCATTCAAAGAGTCGGGTGATGAGCTAAAAGAGTACGTGGAAAAAAAGCATTATTTGAAATGGCATGTACAACACACATGCAATAACACATTTACCATTCGAATATTAACTGTAAATAGTATGTATATATATTCATTAAATTAATTGTTTCCCTTTTTTGCTACAAAGTAAGTTTTTTTATGACATACCTAAAGAATACCGACCCTTGAGCTAGAGAAAAAAGAACACGTGGACGTGGTGCACCCCTTTTTGATGAGTTTAATGGTAAACTTTTTTTTGGGGCAAATTGACAGGGGCGGCGCTAGGGGGGGCTAAAATTGGAGTTTCCAACATTTTCAGAAGCTTATATTTGGAAAACTATTGAACCGTTGGAAAGGTAATTGAAGGACCTTTCAATCAATATATATATCTATGTATATAATGCAAACATATTTTGAGAAAAAGTAAAAAAACCAAATTATGTCCTTTTTTATAAAATTGTATGTTTTTCGTAAAAAAATACGTAATTAACTATATTAACAAATATATTTATCGGAAAGACCCAAAAAAATACCTTTAATTTGGCGTATAATTTTATATAGTTAGGTTTAAGTACAACGCCAGCAGTGCATTAAAACAACTGTATTAATGTTATATGTTCTCTGCAAAAGGTGTTCTGCCCCTTTTCTTTGGCAACACAGAGAGGAGAAAGGTGTGGCCGCCTACGCAGAAAGGTGTTCTCTGCCAAAGGTGTTCAGCCCCTTTTATTTGGCAACACAGAAAGAAAATTCTACGTATTGAGGGTTGTAATCCCTAAGCGCGGCCGAAGGATAGCGTAGCTTGAATAATTGTCCATTTAATTCTAGAACTCAATCTTATAACAAATAAGGTGATTAAAAAAGTTGTTTGTATATATTTCTTTAGTATTTTTTTTTTATTTTAATTCAATTTTTGTAAAAACTCAACTGAGTAAGATTTTCTATCGCGTGATTTTTTATTCCAAATTTTCGCCTGCGACGCTTTTCCTTTTTCATATAAAACTATATTTTTATATATATTTAGTCAAATATGATGTCCACAAAATTTTTTGCTACAACTCATATATAAAATTAACGGTATTTTTGTGCTCTTTCTGATAAACATATCTGTTAATATAGTTAATTACCTATTTTTTAAAGAAAAACATATATTTAAACAAAAATTACCATAATTTCGTTTTTTAACCTTTTCTCGCAATGTGTATAAATTATATACATAGATATATATATCGAATGAAAGGCCCTTCAATCATCTCCAACTGTGTCCATAATCGGTTCAATAGTTTTCGAAATATAAGCTTTGGAAAATGTTGAAAACTCCACGTTTAGCCCCCCCTATCACCGCCCCTGTCAATTTCCACAAAAAAAAATGCCGTTAAAAGCCGGAAAAGGTGGCAAGCCACGCCCACTTTTTTTCTCTAGATCAAAGGTCAGTATTCTTTAGGTGTTCCCTAAAGTCTACTAGAAGGCAGCGGTTCCAGTGGAAGAAAGGCAAACACAAAGATCTAAAAAGTAGCACATTGTCAGTGATTTCCAAAATCAACCAACAATTTTTGCTATTAAATACTTAATACTCAGCTGTTTCGATTATTATAAAATAAAGATATTTTCAAAGCTTAGGAAAAGTAAAGATATAAATACAAAATTAAAAATTACAATATTAAGTTGTGCGATAGCAAAAGGAAGCCGTGAGTGAGAAAGCAATACGGGTTTTTACTACATACATATGTATAACTAATACTAGCTAACTATTTTTATCGGGTGCATAACCGTATAAACAAAAAAATTGCTTTGTTACTTATCAAAACAAATAATTAAAATTAAAAGAAATATTAAGTTAAATGGTGAAAAATTGTCATTATGTGAGTGTCGTAAAGTTATGATAAGCACTATATGTATTTATGTCGAATCCAACTTTCTGATACCACTTTTTGTAAATTTTCGTGGTGCACGTACAAAATTTCACATTCAACTGTGTAACCAGACATTTGCATACGCATAAAAATATTAATGACTTGAAAAATATACTAAACATTTAAAACATTAACATAACCGTTCATTACCGTTCTTATTAATTTTTATTATAAGAGCCTATTTTATGAAAACATCTGTATTCAACGGTTAAAATAAATTAATAAGTCCCGGCTTAATTAGTGTTACCCCGATGTACTACTATAGTAGTACATGTAGTACTACTCAGGGATGGGCGTAATCAGGAAAATGAATAATTGAATAAAAAAAAATAATAATTCATCATTTCACAATTTTTGAATGACGAATAAATTTTTATTCTTCATTCAAGCACTTTCGAATGATGAATAAATTTTCATTCATCATTCAAGTAATTTCAAATAAAGAATACATTTTTATTCTTCATTCAAGCACTTTCGAATGTGCGTATGCAGACTTTTTAAGCCCAATCTGTTTTGTCATCTGAGGGGACTTTTTGCAAAAAGTTCTTCAAGAAACTATTTTTATTCATAAAAAACTCCGGAAAAACCGAAACTTTTTTGGTGCAGTATATAGATAACACAAAATGAGACAAATGGTAGGGGTCAGTGATCGGGAAGGATTCAAACTACCGGGGAAAGTTATATCGGTAAAAA